TTTTTCGGTCTCAGCTAGACCAGAGCACTTTTCACTCGTGAAACGGAGTCACGAGGGCTAAGGTGCCTCTCGGTCCGAGTTCATTTCCTGGGTTGTACAGTTTTCATAGAGCACTAAACCAACAGAAAGAACTTCCCTTTCCATCATCGAGCTCGATAGCACCATGAGTAGTAACCCTCTTAACTTTAAAAGGACCAGACCAACGAGATTTTAACTTACCTGGAAAGAGGCACAACCGTGAGTTGAAAAGTAGGACTTGATCGTCCTCCTTGAAAGTGCGGTGGAGGATATGTCTGTCATGCCATTTTTTTGCTCTCTCCTTATAAATCCTTTCATTCTCGTAAGCATCTAGCCGAATTTCCTCTAAATGGTGTAGCTCTAGAACCCGTTTCTCCGCTGCCGTCTTCCAATCGTAGTTCAAAGCCTTGATGGCCCAGTAAGCCTTGTGTTCCAATTCCACGGGTAATTGACACGCTTTGCCGTACACAAGCTGAAAAGGGGTCATTCCAATCGGGGTCTTGAAGGCAGTCCTGTATGCCCAAACCGCATCCTCTAGCTTCAATGACCAATCCTTTCTTGACTTAGCAACCGTTTTCTCAAGTATAGACTTGATCTCTCTGTTTGATACTTCCACTTGTCCACTCTCGTTTGCGGATGATAAGCGGTGGCAATCCTATGGTGGACACCATACTTTGTCAAAAGGGTTTGGATTATCCTATTAACAAAGTGTGCACCGCCATCGCTTATCACTACTCTTGGCACCCCAAATCTTGGAAATATTGTCCGTTTGAACATCCTTGTCACAGTGCTAGAGTCGTTCTTCGGACTTGCTAATACCTCAACCCATTTTGTCACATAGTCCACAGCCACAAGGATATATAAGTTCCAACAAGATGAGGGAAACGATCCCATGAAATCAATGCCCCACACATCAAACGGCTCTACTTCAAGTATGTAATGTTGCGACATCTCATTTCGGCGTGAAATATTCCCTGTCCTTTGGCAAGCGTCGCAAGAACTCACAAACCGATCCACATCCTTGAATAAGGTTGGCCAATAGAAACCCGCTTGCAAAATCTTTGCGGCTGTCTTGGCCGATGCGAAATGGCCTGCATAATCCGATGCATGGCAATGGTGAATCACTTGTCGTACCTCCTCTTCGGGTATGCATCTTCTGTACAATCCATCTTTTCCCCGTTTGAAGAGGAAAGGTTCATCCCAAAAGTATTCCCAAACATCATGAAGAAACTTTTTCTTTCCGCTGTAGCTCAACTCCGATGGAATCACCTTGCCAACCAAATAATTGACAAAATCTGCGTACCAAGGGGTATCGGAACTAACATCCAAAGCTAGAACTTGTTCCTCTGGCAGTGAGTCATCGATGGGCAACCTTTTCGGGTACTTCTAGTCTTGATAGGTGATCGGCTACTGTGTTTTCCGTCCCTTTCCGGTCTCGAATTTCCAAGTCGAATTCTTGTAGAAGCAGTATCCATCGGATCAATCTCGGTTTGGCATCCTTCTTTGTAAGAAGATATCGCAAAGCTGCGTGATCCTATAAACGATGACTTTCGAGCCCACCAAATAAGATCTGAATTTCTCAAAGGAAAACACCACCGCTAAAAGCTCCTTCTCCGTGGTGGAATAGTTCATTTGAGCATCATCGAGTGTCCTACTCGCATAGTACACCGCATGGTGTTTTCCATCTTTCTTTTGACCCAGAACAGCTCCTACCGCGAAGTCGCTAGCGTCGCACATCAACTCGAATGGAATGTTCCAATCTAGAGGCTGAATAATCGGTGCCGACACTAATGCTTGCTTTAGAGTCTTGAATGCTTGGTTGCACTTCTCGTCAAACACAAAGGGTACATCTTTTCCTAGGAGTGCGGTTAAGGGTCTTGCTATCTTTGAGAAATCCTTAATGAATCGTCGGTAAAACCCCGCATGTCCTAAGAAACTCCGAATGCCTTTGATGTTCATTGGTGGAGGGAGTTTCTCGATGACTTCCACCTTTGCTTTGTCAACTTCAATCCCCTTATCCGAAATCCGATGTCCCAAAACTATGCCTTCTTGCACCATAAAATGACATTTTTCCCAATTTAGGACCAAGTTTGCCTTGCTGCACCTGTCTAACACTCGATGAAGATTGGTTAGACACGCATCAAAGGAGGGTCCATGGACGGAGAAATCATCCATGAACACCTTCATTATATCTTCGATCACATCAGAAAAAAATTGCCATCATGCATCTTTGAAATGTTGCTGGTGCATTGCATAATCCAAAAGGCATGCGTCTATATGCGAATGTACCATAGGGACATGTGAATGTTGTCTTCTCTTGATCGCTAGGATGAATAGGAATTTGAAAAAATCCAGAATACCCATCGAGGAAACAAAAATATGAGTGCAATGCAAGCCTCTCTAGCATTTGGTCTATGAAAGGTAGGGGAAATGATCTTTTCGGGTGTTCGTGTTCAATTTGCGATAATCTATGCACATTCTCCACCCCGTGACTGTCCGAGTAGATATTAATTCATTTTTCTCATTGGTGACGACTGTGATTCCCCCTTTCTTAGGTACAACTTGAACCGGGCTAACCCCATGTACTGTCGAAAATCGGGTAGATGATACCCGCATCTAGCAATTTTAACACTTCTTTCTTAACGACCTCTTTCATGGTGGGGTTTAGTCTACGCTGGTGTTCTATGGATGACTTAGCCTCATCATCTAAATGAATGCGGTGCATGGAAAGTGAGGGACTAAGACCTTTGATATCCTCTAGCGTGTACCCTAAAACGTTCCTATATTGCTTGATTAATGCAATCAGCTTTCCCATTTGAACGTCATCCAGAGCGTCATTGACAATGATGGGGTATGTAGAGTTAGAACCGAGATAGACATACCTAAGCCCTTGTGGTAAGGGCTTTAGTTCCACCTTCGGTGCTTGCTCCGGGTCCCAATCAGTGGAGGGAGTCATCTTAGATCCATGAGGTATGTCACTGAGGGTGTATGCTGTGAAATTCTGGCCTTCGTTGTTTCCTTCGAGTGTTTCATGAGTTGGTTCTCCATTTTTGCTCAGAAAAAATGGGAGGGTCGCCCTACCATGAGGAAGGGCCGCCTGAAAATTGCATGATTCACTTGAGCTAACAGGGCGCTCGCCCTTATGTGTGAGCGGATCGCCCATTTTTTCTGTAAAACTTCCTGATTGCCCCATTTTCAGACTGTTCGCCCTAAAATTAGGGAGGGTCGCCTGAAATTTCTGTGAACCAATTGAAACTGTAGAGAGGTCGCCCGTTTTTGTGAGCGGATCGCCTGAAATTTCTGTAAAAATTTCTGATTCTTCCGTTTTCAAGCTGGCTGCCCTAAATTTAGGGAGGGCCGCCTGAAATTTCTGTAACTCGTCATTTACTTCTATTTCACTATCCAAAGCCTTTCTGATCACCTCAATCTCCTCCTAATTGCTATACAAACTTTCATTTGTGGCCATTAGTGATATTTCCAACGGATCGATCTCTCGGAACTCTTCCATTACTTCTTCGACCATTGCTTCCAAGACATCCATGAAGCATACTGTATCATTGGTGGAGGGTTGTCGGAGATTCTGATCGAGAGTGAATTCCACAGTTTCGTCTCCGATTTTCATTGTCAACCTTCCCGCTCTAACATGAACTATGGCGTCTGCAGTACTTAGAAAAGGTCGACCAAGAATAATCGGAACTTTGGAGTCTTCATCCATATCCAATACCACGAAATCAACTGGAACGTAAAATCCACCAATCTTCAGGGGTACATCTTCCACTATCCCCGCTGGATACTTGATCAAACGATCCGCTAACTGTAGAGCCATTCTTGTTGGTTTCAATTCCCCTATATTCAGCTTCTTGTAGATCGACAAAGGCATAAGACTTACACTCGCTCCTAGATCGCATAGAGCTCGATCTATCTCAATGTTGCCCAACTTGCAAGGTATGGAGAAGCTTCCCGGATCCGACATCTTCGGAGGGAGCTCGTGTCTTGTAATGGCGGCACTGATTTCAGTGCTTAAGGCCACCGTTTCCTTTTCTACCACTCGCTTCTTAGTCAAAATATCCTTTAGAAACTTTGCATAGGAAGGCATTTGGAGAATCGCTTCATGGAATGGCATCGTAATCTCTATCTTTTTCAGCATCTCCACAAACTTTCCAAACTGACTTTCTTCATTGAACTTTTTCAAACGAGAGGGAAAAGGGATTGGAGGTACCTTAGGTGGTGGAGGAACGTAGGCCGGCTCCTTTTCCTGGGTGTTTGTCGTGGAGTTGCTTTCTTCCACCGCTTTGCCTTTCTCTTCCCTCGTTAGCCTTGGTGTTGGTGCTTTTTCGCTCATGGGTGGACCGATTTCCGGGAGTTGCTTTCCACTTCTCAACTCCACTGCATTAATGTGCTCTCGAGGGTTCACTTCAATCTTTCCCGGAAGAGTACCTTGTTGTCTCGATGAGGAAGATGAGAGTTGTGCCACTTGGTTGTCCAAAATCTTTAAATGAGCTTGTACTCCTTCCAATTGCGTTTTGAATACAATTTGCTCATTCTCGATGTTTCCAATAGATATTCCTTGTGACTTTTTCCCTTGGACAATTTGCATCAGCATGTCCTTGATCTCGGGATCTTGATCTTTTGGTTGCTCTTGTTGTTGTCTATAGTTCGATGTTCCTTGATAACCTTGGTTCCCTTGGACTTGTTGCTGGAACTTAGATTGAAAACCCGGGGGTCCTTGGTTGCTCCGTTGAAATGTCGATTGCGAGTTCATTGCATTTGTTTGGTTCTTGTAGGAGAAGTTTGGGTGGTTCCTTAACCCAGGATTGTACAGGTTAGAAGGGTGGTTGTATTGGTTTGGACCAACATAATTGGCTTCCTCCGCTTCTTGATTGACCAAATACATCCCCGGTTGGATTTGTGCTGAACTTGGCTCCTCTATAGTTGCTACTTGCTTACTGTTTGCAAGTTGTATCCGCATCTCCCTTTGTTGAGCCCCTCCTACTGAACTCATTTGATGTATGGCCTCGTCCTTTGGCCAACTTTGCAATTGTTGCTTCTAGCTCTTGAAAAGGGATGTCATAGATGTCACCCCCACATGCTGCATCGATCCATGATCGAGTGTCATCCTTTAATCCATGAATGAAGATAGATAGAAGGTAATCTCGTTCCATTCCATGGTGAGGGCACATCCTTTGGTATTCTTTACATCGTTCCCATGCGTCATGAAGATTCTCCCCATCCTCTTGTATAAAAGCATTGATCCGATTCCTTGCGTGTTGAGTTTTGGTGGGTGAATAGTATTGCATAAGGAACTGCTCCTCCATCTCGTCCCAAGATGAAATGGAGTTTGGCTCAAGAGTGTAGAGCCAATCTCTTGCTCTCTCCATGAGTGAGTATGGGAAAGCCTCAAGGAGCACATCTTCCGTGGTGATTCCCGGCCCTTTCTTTATCGCCTTACAATTCATCTTGAAATTGGTAAGGTGAGCATTTGGATCCTCATTGGGCCTACCCCGGAAACTCATGTTGTTGAGCATTTGGATGCATTGTGGTTGGAGTTCAAAGTCCTCCAACGGCTCCTTGTTAATGCAAGAGAGTAGTTGAGTGTGCTTCGGTTGTGTGTACGTTCGAAGCGTTCTAGGGGCTGCTTGGGCTGGTTGTTCCCTTCGAGCATTGTTGTCTCTCAATAAATCTTCTGCCATTTTCCACTATCTTTGTTGCTTCCGAGTAAAACGTACAGTCCTCTCAATTTCTGAATCAAATAGAAGTTGATCCTTGTCGGTTGTGCTTCTTGTCATATACCGAGAGATCTGCACGCAGAGAAGAGTGAAAAGAAAACTAGCCAAAGGTGAGAAAAGATCGTAACACTAAGAGATCCCAAGTAGAAACCCAAGCAATGATGACCTAGCAAAAACTTAGACTAACACGAAAAACGCCTAGTCCCCGGAAACGGCGCCAAAAACTTGATGCGCATGCACCGAGTTCTAAATTTGTAACCCGATTCGTACCACTATCCGCAAGTATACGGTAGTTGTAGTACCGGGGTCGATCACGAGGACTATGTTGTGTTAATCCATTCTTAAACTAGATCAAAGATGATGGAAAATATTGATTGCAAGGTGTTTGTGAAAATGTAAATATGAAAAGAGATCCAAATAAGCAAACGAAACTTGTGTGATGAAAACGATTGGACACGAATGTTGTGGGTTCGGGGTCCCTTTGACGGGTATGGATGCTCAAAATGGGATGGCAATCATGATGATCATTTCTAATTGGGGATTTCAAGGCTCTTTGTGTAAGATCTTTCTCTCTCAAGCTTAGATCTACTATCTAGAAAATCAACTACCCATCTCTCGATAATCTAGAGGACTCCTAGATGCATTAACAACCCCTATCATAATTCCTAAACAAGTCAAACCATCTCTCAATGTGAATGCTTTGTTCATTTGATGTCTAGGTCAAAACACCATTCTCATATATCTATGATCAATGTTGTTCTAAAATCATTCAATCAAGGTTTTGCCAAGATCAAAAGCATGAAGGTCAAGATATCAAACCAATAGAAATAACTAAAAGAGTACCATAGATTGAAACCCAACATCCATACAAAAAGGGGGACCCCTCCCCCACAACTAGGGTTCTACTCCATACTCAAAGGAAGAAAACAAGAAGAAACAAAGGAGAACATGATAGAGAAGAGAAAGGAATGCTTAGATTGGTCTTCAATGGTGATGATCACTTCTCTTCTTCTCCAAGTCTCCCAAGCTCCAAGTTTTCCCCAAAGTGGTTTCTCCCCATTTTAAATTGCCAAAAGATCCTTTTTTGCTTTCCCTCTTTTCCCTTTTGTTAAGCAAACCTAGGGCTTTCTTCTTTCTCACTAATGGGCTTGGAAATGACCCAAAACAACATATGAATTTCGTCAGATAGAAATGGGCGGTCTCTTTGTGTTTCAGGGCGGGAGCCCGAATATGCTTCACAGTTTCGGGCGATCGACAGAACTTATGGGCGGCCCCCCTGAATTTTCTGTTAAATATCGAGGCTTCTATCACTTTAGGGCGGCCAGATCTCTTTCTAGGGCGGTAGCC